CCCATGACCTTTCCTTTTTTTCCCCCCGATTCTCTCCCCCATCCCACTGGGGGGGTGGGGAGCGAGTGAACAGCTGTGTGGTGTTTAGCTGCCTGCCGGGTTAAACCACAACAGTGACCTTTCAGAAAACAAGGGTTCAGTTAAATTTGCTACTATGATACATGACCTGGAAATACTGTTATCTGTGGAAGTCAGAAGAATCAAGTCATCATGAAATTTTAATAGCCTCCACTCCTATTAATAACTCTAGATCTTTTCAAGAGAATTCCCCTAACAATGCCTCTTCAATCATGAAGCACTCAAATTTGCAAAGCAACCTTTAAGTGGGAACCATGTGACATTTGTGTGCGCAAACCAAATGTTTCCAGTCCCTACACAATCCTAATATAAACCAGAATTCAAAGGGAAAACAATCACAGTTTACCTCAGTGAGACCACAGTGCAGGTTAATCCATAACTAAAAGTGAGGGGGGAAAAAAGTCTGTGCTTCTCTCTACCTGCTCAACACTATGAGGAATTTAAAAAAGAAAAAAAGACAAAAGTAGAGGGTCAAAGTAAAAGATATTTAACTTTGACACTACCAAAAGACTGTACAAAGGTACTAACCTTATTTCATAATTTCTATTTACAGATGGCCTTACGTGCTGCTGTGGCACTCAACAGCTGCAGCAGAGCAAGGATCACAGGGACTGAATCTGCAGAACTTTAAAGAGATTCCAAATTTAGGTTCCACTTTGAAACTGCTTATAAATTTTGTAATGGTGGGTAGTCCTTTTCACATCCATTTTACACATGTAACGTTCAAAAGCAACCTCAGCAATTTGAGGCAGAAAGGCAGAGAATTGGTTATCGGGGTGAAACAGCTACCTTCCTAAGCCAAGAGTTGCCCCCAGGTCATGGGCAGGATGAAGAATCATCTATTGCTGTTGTTCATGAAGTATATAAACAAACAAAACTTTGTCCCTTCTGTTGTCAATTTTATCCCTTCTGCAAGCACCAAACTCACTTTTTGAAGTCAGCCTTATAGACAGAGTTTTGTCTGTAAAGATCTTATAAAATAGTTCCAAGTCACCACTTAAACACCAAGGCAGAATCTGCTTGATGCTTTACTGCATCACACATCAGACTCATATCCCTTGATCCATTTTCCATGCCAGTCTGCAGTTCAAAGAGAAAATAAGCAGCTTTGCCCAGAGGGCAACATGATGACAGCTCATCCTGTGCCAGTTCGGGATTTTTCTATTCACATACTGAGAGAGCAAGAAGCAGCCAAGATTGTGGCCAAAACTTCCTGAGATCCTGCAGAGTCTTCATGAATAGCAATTTTTAGGAGGCTGTCTCCAGCCCCGAGTACTTACACATATGCAGCTCTAATGTTAGGCCCTGGAACTGCGACATGAAAAAGCTTTAACCCTTTGGTCACCCCACTGAGCTCACCTGTGCCAGAATCCCAGCCAGAGCATCCCAGCACAGAAACACCTCTAGCTAAATCTTGGGAATGGCAGGTAGGTAGCCCACCAGCCAATAAAGAGATGTACCTATTTGCACAGCCACTGTGCCACCTGCACGGCACCTACACTCTTATTTATTCTTTAGGGGTAGCCCAAACGGCATAGCCGATTTCTCACTGGGCCCACGGACACTTGCTGCCCCAGCACCTGCGCTTCAGACACACAGACAGGCACCTCACCGAGGCCGGGGTCCTCAGGTACCTAGCACTGTGCAACTACCGGTCGACAGGCTAACTCACGGGGCTACGGCAGGCGCCCGTCCCCTCCCGCGCCGCCGACACCCGCGGAGCTAAATCCGGGGCAGGCCCAGGGCGTGAGCAGGCACGGGCGCGCTGCGCCCCCCCCAGCAGCGACCTCAGGCGTGAGCGAGGGACGACCCGGAGAGGGGCGGGGATCAGAGGGCCCGAGGGAGCCGAGAGGGATCCCTCCCCCCGGGGCGCGAGGGGCGGCGGCCGGGCGGCCCGGCGGTACCTAGCTTCTGGCCCAGGAAGGTCATGCTGTGGTAGGCCTTCTCGGCGGCGGCCAGGTGCGCCAGCCCGGCCAGCAGGGCCAGCCAGCTGGCCCCCGCGCTCTTGTTGGCCTCCCGCTCCTTCTCCACATTGTCCTTGGCCTTGTCGTAGGAGAAGATGCCCAGGTGGGAGAAGAAGGTCTCCAGCACGGCCTGCTCCACCGGCACCGGCGCGCCCAGCGGGATCGACTCCCCCATCCCGCCCGGCGGTGCCGCCGCAGCCGCCTCCGCCGCCCCCTCCACCACGGCCGCTC